GCATAGAATGTGAAGAACTGCATAGAATGTGAAGAAATAACAGTATTTCCTCACAACCCTGTCCTCTCTGACCACTTTCTAATAACCTTCAGGATTACTTTAACAGAGTTCTCCTCCCCCAAAAGAAGGTTCCATTTTAGTAGATCTTTATCAGATAGTGCAGTTATAAATTTTAAAGAATCTGCTTCACTTTCTCTGTCCTCTGTGTCGCTGAGCAGTGCTGCAGAGGGCAAAAGCTTAGTTTATTCCCCTTCAGAGGTTGATGATTTTGTTGATGGGATTGCTAGTTCTATGCGTACTGCCTTAGACAACGCAGCTCCTTTGAAAATGACAACCGTTTAAAAATAGAAAGCTGGCTCCTTGGTTTAATGCAGAGCTGCACACTTAGACAGAAAAAGCTAGGAACTGGCCAATGGGAATCCTACCTAGTCTGGAAAAATAGTGTACTGCTGTATAAGAGGACCCTTTTTAAAGCAAGAGCAGCATACTTCTTAATTATTAGAGGAGAATAAGAATAATGTTAGATTTCTTTTTGATACAGTTGCCAAACTCACCCAGAGCCATAGATCAGTTGAACCGTCTATTCCACCTGCTCTTAGCAGCAATGATTTTATAGGATTCTTTATAAATAAGATCGATTTTATTAAAAATAAGATGATTAGCACTCCTCTATCTGCGATTGGTTTGTCTCTGGAGGGGGGGGGCAGCATCTGAGGTAGTCATGGAATCTGAACCGGGTTTAGACTGCTTTGATCCAGTTGAACTTTCAGTGTTAGCAAAACTATTGTCTTCATCTAAGCCTTCAACTTGTATGTTAGATCCAGTTCCAACCAGGTTATTTAAGGAGCTATTCCCTTTGATCTTCTCCTACATTTTAGATGTGATTAATCTATCTCTGTTACAGGGATATATACCAAAGGCTTTTAAGGTTAAAATAGGGCAACATTTTTTTAAAGTCTTAGGACCTGCGACTAAAATCTCCCAAGTATGACAAATATTGCCCCAGGTCTAAATAAAATAATAGAGATTATTTTATGTTAGAGCGCCCTCTGCTGCCAAAGTAAAAGAAAAATCTGATGTTTCAGAGTTGCTCCTGGCCCCCCACTGTTTTTAGGTTTAACTTGTTTCTTCAGTTAAATAACATGCTG